AATTTGTTGTGACCATGCAGACTGCCCACACAGCTAACAACACTACAAGGTCACTACCAATCTACTGCGCATGCGTGGCACTCATCTTATACGCAGAACTACTACACGTCCATGGTGTCTGCAGCTGCCTGGTAGTATTTTCGGGCCTTGATACAGAGATTTTAAATTTCCATTACTATATTCAGCAGCATGGTTTGGAAACGTCTTATAAAGGAGTAACACATGGGGTACTTACTTGGGCATAAAAATTAGATATCATGTCAAGTTTCAGAATTAATTGTTTACAGCGTGTATCAAAAAATATAATTTATAATGCCAGCTCTTATTAAAATACTCCAGAGGTTTTAATAGAATGCAAGACAAAGTTTCTCAGATCAAGAAGTTGATAATACTCTCAGAAGAAGAGCACTGTATTTACAACAACTCTCTACAACAACCTTCATGAGGATGTGTAACACTGCTGTGTTAGACTGCGTTAGTTTTCACTAGGTGTGCCTAATAAACTGGAAACTGAGTGTACAATATCCACACGTTGACAGACATTCTCATATTAACTTTATGCTGTGTGCAATTCTGTTGATTTATACACATCATAAGCTTCAAATAAACACTTTCATTATCACAATGGCAGTTCGAGTTGTAATAATGCTGATAAAAATGAACAGTTATACATATACATTCTAGACAAATCATTTAAAAAAGGATTTTATTTTCAACTAAATGGCATTGCACTCGTAAGATAATATTAGTTATTCATATTTATCCACTGTACAGCGTATTCTTGTGTTTGACTTTATTATTTTATTTCTGAGTAAATTTATGTGACTTCATTATTTTTCCCATTGTTCTCCATCATCTCTTCACATTGAGGGTGGATTGTCTTCAGACTGTACTCCAACCACAATTTGTGCCTGACCACAGCCAGAAAAACTCACAAACTTTGAACCACCCGTCAAACAGAGCAATTTCAGATGTAACCAGTTTAACTGATAGTAAAACAAATTATGTGATTTATGTGAGACCTAAAATGTCTGTCAGTTTGTCGTTATTTCACTCACCTCATGGTCAGGAGTGGGTGAGGGGCTGAGGGAGCCCAGGGAGTGTTTACGTGGTGTGGAGGCTGTGTGGTCGCCCAGGTGGTCGCCCAGAGCCGGGGACTCTGTCTGTCCAGGAGGTGCTGGGCGGGTGGCAGGCCTCTCCCACTGGGTGGTGCCTGTAGGAATGTGCCAGTAGTAGATACCGGCCATGTCGGTGATCTTCTTCCATCCTGGAGGCAGGTCAGGATCTGTCTGGAATGACTGCTCACTCCAGATATCTGGTGGAAAAACACACACATTCGGACGGTTTATTGATATCGGTGGTCAAACTAACAGACTTCTTATATACTGTACTTACAAATGCATGTATAGACACACATCTGTGGCTGCACACAAACACAGAAAATTCATTTTTCTTCCATATGATTAAATTGGCCTCTGTTGGAGGAAGTTACTCCTCCCACAATCATATACAGAACAATATGAACTGCTGACTGGGATTACCAGCATTTGCTGCAGCTGTCATTTAACAGCCGTGTCTGCCATGACTTTCTACAGACAGCAACTGACTAAAACTTGTTAAGCACTTTTGTTGCATTTGTGCAACACACCCACGCACATACCTAAACCATTTTCAGTAAAAATTAAATAAAACATATCACAAAGGCAAATATCAACTCTTGAATGTACACAAAAACACACACAGGCATTCGTCTCACATTCAGAACAGTCTAACAGATGTCAGATGCAGCTCAATGAGTTAGCCCAACGCAGAATTTAAATCTATATGGTTTTATTCTACATGACAATGAGGACTCATTATCATTCTCTGGTCCTAGTAAATTGTATTAGCTTCTTCTCTGAACTCAGTAGTATACAACCCGCTCTCATTTACATGGGTGTATGATCCATTATGGGTTCCTTAATTTATTGTTTTTTATCAGCTCTTAATTTAGAAGTTATGTCCTAAATACAAGCCTTATAATCTAAAAATGGGTGGACCTCCAGCTGTCCGTAATAATGCCACAAGACAGATTGTCTGACATATTCATGGTGAATTTGATGTCAGCACACATCACGTCAAAGAGACTTCCCTGGAAGATCACTAACTCTCAAATCAAAACAAAAATTATTTCAAGAGGCAACCAGAGCTAGGTTAAAATTAGAGACCACATAATTTGTACCATTTCTTTTTCAAGATAAATATGTACCAGATCTACAGCAGTACATTGCTTACAATAAGGCAAGGCAAAGAAAATGTATTTCATAGCACATTTCATACCCAAGGCAAGCCCAAAGTGCTTTGCGGAGTCCACAAGAAAAAGCCACTCTTCTGAAATTGACTCCAACTCTTCTTCCTGCCTTTCAGCTTCTGTACATTACAACGTTTCTAATTCACTTTTAAATGATATAAATAAATAAAAATACATGTGGAATCAAAACAATTACTAACTTACATAACTCTGTATATAACTAGAATGAAGTGGAAGGACAAGCAGTAATAATCTTACAACTAAATTAAAAAATATCTGCACAAACTATTAGCATGTTCTGATCTCAAAAGCCAACATCACTCTCAGTGCTGTACTGTAATTTGAAAGCCATAAAAACTCAAAGGGTTGATTAATTAAGACACACTGGCTCAGTATGTATGGATTCATGTAAATTTAAACTTCCCTTACCTAACAGAACGCGGCAAACAGTATGTAGAGCAGATGGCTGTTACCATAATTTATTTGACAGTGACACAAGCAGAGGAAATACAGCAGTTACCTTGAAAACACACACACACACACACACACACCCTGTGAGGAGATGGAATCAGGGTGCTTATATCACAGTTTCTTCTCTCGCTCTCACTAAATGTCATTTCATCTGAAGGTTGCAGTTGACAGACACACACACACACACACACACAGAACTATTGACGGTATCTTCGTGTGTGTGAAGTTGATGTAGTGGCAGAGGTAGTAAAGATGATCCCAAACTGCATTAGGTGGTGTAACATCTCATAAAGGTGATATAAGCTCTGAGGGAGTGGTCAGCTGGTGCTGTGTGTATTTGTGTGTCTGTTTGATTGTACAAGGAGTTCTCGAACTGCTGACCATGCTGATGAAACACAGCCCACGGGCCTGTCGCCACGACAGCAGGCCATATGTCATCATGACGACTGGGTCGGTCCAGATTGAGATGGAATTCAGACACTCACACACACACACACACACACACACACACACAAAGACATGCAGAGGTAAGTTAATTTACCAGACTTAGTTTATTTAATGGAACAGAAATCAATCACAAAATATTGCGCACATACATATGGCACAAGCAGACATCTCTTGGGGCTTAAGATTGTGCTTTAGAGCAAGGAGCTGGGAAGTAATGCCTTCTGGGAGTTGCAGTCTTTTAAGAGCAAAAAATAGGTCAGATCCAACAGAACTGAAACAGAGAGGACGTTACATGAACATGAGTGTCTCTGCTATGAGCGAGAGGGAAGATGGTGACTCAGGGACTGGGTCCAGTAGGAGAGACCACTGAATGTGGATTAAAGCGTGTACGTCCCAAAAGGGAGGGGAGGGGGGGCTCTGGCTGTTTTATTGCTCTGACTGGCTTGGCTCGAGTGATATATCGTGCCTCAAACTTAGCAGTGTCACACTCTGCCAGCACTGTGGCAAGTATAGCACGGGAAGGAAAACACTAACACTGAGGCGAGCAACTGGCATGAACCTATGCAGCTCATGGAAATGTGCCACAGCCGAGCTACGTAGCAGTTAGCCTGTGATTGCCTCAGTTAGCATGCAGCTCCATGCCAGAGCAGAGTTAGGCAGAGGGGGAGGGGAGGAGCAGTGAGATTCTGGAGCAAAACACACACATATGCACATGTCATCTCGACACACACACACACACACACACACACACACACACACACACTACCATGACCGATGCGCGCATTCCTTCACAACACACACGCAAAAATACAGCATGCACAGATTCTAATAGCAGATATTTCGAGAGAGATACATTTACAGTGACAAACTTCATCCCCGTGTTGCAGGAGACACACACACACACACACACACACACACCCACACCCATGCTTGTGCACACACACACTCACACACAGACAGCATTCAAACTCTAACCCCACAGTGTAGTTTCCAGCAGACTCCGACAGACGCACCTACCCTCGTAATTGACAATCACAATGGCCAGCATGTAGTCTTTCCCCAGCATCATAGTTAGCTAGCTGCCTCTCAATACAGCAAAAGCCAGCGCTGTAACCACAGAGAGAACCCCAGACAGAGAGAGAGAAAGAGAGAGAGAGAGGAGAGAGGGGGGGACACTGCAAGAGAGGGGGTGAGGAGGAAAAGAGAGGAGAGAGAGAGAGAGAGAGAGAGAGAGAGGGAGAGGGACGTGGAGACACATTGAGACAGGGAGGCAGGGAGAACATGACGTGAAAAGAGAGGCAGAGAAGAGGGGGAGAAAAGAGTGAAAGAGGGGCGAGTGCAAGCAAGAACAGAAAGAGAGATAGAGATGGAGGTTGTGTATCCCTTGCAGCTGAGCTGTGTTTGCTTTTGTTGTCTCTCCTTCCTCCATCTAGAGCATCAACAACGTCAACAAGCTCAAATAAGCCTGCCCTCCCTTTCCTGTCCTAAAACAAACATACACTCAGGCACATGGTAAGAAGCTAAATAACTGGCACACTCATCTTCATCAAATGTCTATGTTTATCACTTTCTTCCTCCTTCCCACCTTCCCCACCTTCCCTTTAGCCTCTCTTGGTTGTCCTGGCAACCCACAGATCATCTTTCATTCAGTATCATATCCAATGGAGTCGCAAGGAGGAGGAGGTGGAGCAGAGAGGGAGGGAGACATACAGTAGGGCTGATGAAGGGAGAAAAAACAGCAAAGATATAGCGAGGGTGGAACGAAGGGTGACAGAGACAAAGAAAGAAAAAAGTAGTTTGACGTCTGACTGCCAGAGAAAACACTGGACTTCACATGTTGCTACACTGCACTCATCCACATTCAACTCATGTTTCCTCGCAAGTGTTACAGTGCATGTTGTTGTGCGAGAAGGACCTCTTTAAATGACCTTCCTCAACTCAGCGTGTGTGTGTGTGTGTTTTGGCTGCTCCGTGTGAAAGCAGTGTCGTATTGGCCCTCTAACCCGCAACATCCACAGAGGAATCTGACACACACCTGGGAAAACAACACGGCTCTGTCAGTATGAGCGAGGCAGACAGGAGGGCACAGCAGTATGGACGACTGTTACGTATCAGTAAATTCAACATGGTGATTATCGACTCTTCAGCAAACCCCTTGGAGGACAACACCTCTTAACTAGGGACTACAGCACCACTAGCATCTACTTTTTGAACCCCTTCTGGTTCATAAATACACTCAGACTTTGATCTGCACAAAACAAAAGGTTATCCTATGAGAGATATATCACCTTGACATTTTAGATGAAGACAAGCGAGAGGAATCGGGACAAAAGGACACATGGAAAGTAACTTTAACGCACAAACATTCAGGAGAAAAGCTAACTGATACTTGAAATGAAAAACGCAGATGCTCGGGGCCTTCAATTCGAAAGGGACAGTGAGTCATCGGAGAGCTAGAAGCAAGAGAAGCATTCTGGGAGAAAAAAACGAGGCTAAAGAGCTCAGAGCACTTCAACTCTCAGAGACTCAGAGGATGGTTTACAGCTGAGCTCATGTCAGAGGTCGGGGCTGCTGCTGCTCTAGAAGAGATGGATGTGTTTCATATGTCTTACAACAAAGCACGAGGCTGAGAGTTTTAAGGGCCCAATTAAACTGAACATGCAGGTTTTTACATAACGCTGACATAAGAAATGCAGTGACTTTAACAGACCTTCTGCAGAGGTAAGCAACAAGCGACTTTAAGAAAGGCCCACAACAGAGGTGATGACTCAAAGGAATTTCTTAACTTCAGTTACAAAATTCACCCCAAAGTTTGTGCCATGCTGTATGCACTATAACATCAAAGAGTAGACAATGTCAATGTCAGTAATAAATCAGACATTTAATCAGGCTAAAGCATATCTGTGTCATCAGAAAAGACAGAACTAATCACTGTACAGTAACCACATTTTACAATAAAGGTGAAAGATTAGTCAATTAAAAGATTAGCTGACTGAGTAAAGTTCTGATGGGCATTTTTAAGTATTTTTCAAATGATTAATGAATCAATTGAGAAAATAATCCGCAGATTAATTCATAATGAAAGTTAGTTGCCCTATGGGGACTGTCTAGACATATTGCATGCCCATCTGCATGCCTAAAACACACTTTAAACATGTAACCCTGCACAAATCTCAGTCAGTCTGCACGTTGCACCAAAAATAATATCCCTTTCGATGGTACAGCTTCATATAGAGGTCCACCATCCTCCATGTGTGTGTCCAAACTGCATCCTGCATTTAATACCTACAGAGCACAAATGTTCATATTCTCGTAGAAAGAGTGATAAAGACTTCACACACACACACACGCACAGGACACAGCTTGAAAAAGGAAGCAGCTGATCTAGCTTGCTAACCACCCATGAGGTTACAAGGGCACTTCCTCTCCCAGAAGATTTCTGGGAGATTTACTGGAGGCGGGAGTGTTTGTTATTCTGTTCTAGCAATGTCCGAGTTCTGCACACACACACACACACACACACACACACACACTTGGGTCACCATAAATGGAAACATGTCATCAGCAGAGAGGACGGTAAAACCACTACATAGCACACAGGAGAGAAAAAAAACACACACACCAGAGTGACACCCTCACATGAAAACATCAGTTAATGACAGCGGCTGGAAGGTTTTCCGCAATAAACGTTTTGCAGCAGGTTTTGTGAGTGTGTTACTGTGTGTACCTGTCTCCTCTGGGGAGTTGCTCTCCTGGGACAGTGTGGTCCAACTCAACTCTTCGTCACTCGGGTTCAGATTCTGGATGCGGTTCAAAGCGCAGTCTGTCTTTGCGCCAGTCCTTCTGTCCTTCTTCGTCTCTGGAGAGGAGGAGGAAGAGGAGGAGCAGGAGGCCACAGAGAGCAGGGGTGTGTCCTCTGGGCTTGCTTGCCTGGGTGGGGAGGGAGGAGGAGGCACTGGAGAGTCCTTGCCTGCCTTGAGGAGCTTGAGGTTGGAGTGAAGGTCAGAGATGAGTTCCAGGCCTGAAGTAACTTTGTGGTTCTTCACGGGAGACTCGTTCTTTATGACAAGTAAAGGCTTACTCTCCTCGTCGTCCTCCTGCTCCTCTACTGCCACCTCATCTTCATCTTCCTCAGTCTTCATCTTTGACATCATTTCCTTCTCAGACAGAATGCTGATATCATCGTTCTCCTCTGACTCAATGTTCAAATCAAAGCCCAGATCTGTTGTGTTGCCGTTCAGTTTGAGCTCCACAGTCGTGTTGATGTTACAGTCTATATCTGATTCAGTTTTCTGTTCGGGCTCGGGATCACCGTTAGTGTCTGGGTGCAATTCAACATCTAGCTTAGTGACATCATCATCATCATCATCATCTCGGTCGTTATTGGTGAGTGTGTGACTGTCGTGCTCCTCAGCCGTGTTGACATTGAGGTCATCTGCTGCAGTTTCTGTATTACACTCGGGGTCTGTCGGGTCAGGGCCGGTTGTGTTTCTGTTGTGATCCTGACCGGCTTTACGGAGCTGGTTGACTCCGTTCTTGGCTAGTTTGGGATTGTTGGGGGTTGTAGGCTGTGATGGGGATGATAATGGTGATGATGAAGATGGCACTGCTTCTCCGAGGCCCATGGCAGCCTGGATACTGGTAAGTGCATACTTTTTGCGACACTTGGGAGGCGTGGCAGAGCCCTGTTTGATGACATCACTGCTGAGTAGCTGGTTGTGTGAGGAGCGAAGGCTGAGTGAGGTGGGAGGCGTGGCAGCAGGGCCGTTATGATTGGTCACATCGACTGACATCATTGTGGCACAAGATAGTTCGACTGCAAGAGGAAGAGAGGGGGAACAGCAGGTGAATACATTTTCACATGTGTAGGAAATAGCTTTGAGAAAGGGTGTCCCACTGCTTACTTACTAATGCTATTCGCATTATAACAGCCATTGTTGCATTGTAAAAGACAGGTGCTGTATATTAGGATATGGTGGTGATAGTCAATAAACAGATAATATTCTTGCAGCAGCAGCAAGCAGTGTAAGCAGACCATCTTCAGGTTAAAACATAAATACAACAAATTAAGTTAAACAAGTAACAAATGAAGAACCGATATGATATTAAATTGACATTAACAGATTTTCATAACTGTATGGTACATGAGGGTGCAATTACTCAGCACTGGTTCACCGCATGAGGAAAATTACAGAACAGACGCTTACAATCATTAAAAGGTGCAAATGCCTGAGGAAGTAAATTGTTCAGGCATGCAAATGATACAGTGTTTACCAATAATATTTAAATTTAGTTGAAAAATAAATTCTGTCATAGTAGATAAACAACAATGCAACCTTGGGCTGGGTTTCTTTTGGTCCGGTCTGCACTATTACAGGAATGTAATTAATCATCAGAGCTTTAATCAGACAGAAGTCGACTCTAGTCAACTGAATACATTGAAACATCCTTATAGTTCTGGTGATGTTCTGTGGTTTGTCTTATTGTCCCCCATGAAAAGACCCAAACTGACAGTGAATTGAGTGCCACTGTATTAATAAAATGATTGAAAACCCATGAAGGAGCCACAAAGTTGCACTACCTGCACATTTCTTTATATAAAATGTTGTTTATTTTGATCAGATTTTCCACACTGTAAATATTTGCGAGCACACCAACTCCGCTGCTGAAAATAGTACCCAACAACAACAACAACACTATTTACTCCTGTTTGAGTAATGTTTGTTATCTGTTTTAGGACACAGACAGGGAAGGAGAGCTAGAATGTATTGAAAAAAGGACTAACATAGGGTTAGTTTTGGCCTTTTTTAATGTGATTTGTTGACAATAACAAAAATATAGAATCTGGCTTATCTTTTAAATTCTTATGAGGTATTACTGTGTTTTGCAGACCTTAAAAGCTACTAGCTACTGCAGAGCAGTGCTGGGGCAACCGCTCAGCATGAACTTGAAAAGGTTTTCATTCCAACTGACTGCTGTACACTAACACAGCATGTGTGTGTCCGTGTGTGTGTGCTATGTGTTGTACCTGACAGGAGGTCAGTCACGGTTCAGGGTTCAGTAGACTCAGCTGCAAATCTGAACACCACTGCAGGGAGAAAAAGCACAAGAATGATCAGACGAAGAATGCAGAGCATCCTGAGTACTTCTTGGGTTGCCCTCGGAGACCACATTCATCCATGTGGAACCCAACTACAGCTGGTTTCTATGGAGACAACGTAACACTGTAAGGCAGCGAAGGGACTCCACACGCCAAAGAAATCAAAATTATTAAAGATATATTCTGAACAGAGACGGAAGTCATCGACTCATGGGGCCCTCTGTTTGTTTGGTGATTGTTCTTTGTGTAATGCACGTCGACTTTACCTCTCAATCCTCCCCTGAATATACAGAGGTCACTTCAAAGTAAAAGAACATTTCTGCTGGCTTTTACTGTGAAGCATTTACAGAAAAAGAGTCATATTCACTGAGGTTAGCTTAGCGTTTCCTAGCATCCCAGCAAAGCTTGGTTTGTTTTTACCCAAAGCAAAAAGATGCTCTATATTTATCTAAATACCATATTGTTACCATGTCTGAACTATCCCATATTTATGGACAACATCAATAGCAAAGCTTGTAAAACTATAGTTTCAGTTATGACAGGAAGAACAACAATT